GGGGCGGAGGGTTCTTCGGGTGCAAGGCTTGAGAGGTTTGCAGGCAGATGCTTGCGGTAACGCAGCAAGTCATATTTGTTAAACCAGTGTTTATCTGAGATTCCCGCTAGTTCCTCTGTTTCCCCGGGCGGACATAGCTACAGCAGTGTACTTATAAAGGTTAAAATGGCAGAAAACAAGCCTTGGCAGAAATATTGGTGCTGTGACCCCTTGCCGGCCGAGGGCTGATATGCGTTCAGGGAAGAAGCTTAGCTTGCATATCAAGGTCAGATTGCGTATTATTACCGGCTTTCTCGCTTACAGCATGAGATCATGTTGGTAGCATGAGCGATGCATCGATGCTTGAAGCCTGGACCCGATTCCGTTGCAAATACGTTGGTTAGGGGTAGAATGCTGGTGCGGGGTTAAAGCTTTTGTAGAAGCTCCCAGCGGCTAGTGCTTCTTCAGTCTGACATTTGTGTTTGATGCTGCTCGGAAAGAATTCATCCGATGTGTACTTCCGGGAGACTTGCGGTTCCGCCGAGTTGGCGGGCACTGATCTCCACAGAGCTTTAAACAGGATTTCTCGTATTGCCTGGCTGGCTGCAGCATTAATACTCAGTGGCTCATATATCTCATATGTTCGCACCATCTCCATTCGCACAAGAATCGCCTTAGAGTTGGCGGTGGGCTTTGCCCACACAACTCGCAAGTTTGTTCGGTCTCACACTCGTGTGTAGCGGGAGGAGTATAGAGGGGACCAGGCCCAGGCCCGGCCCCGGAAGTCCCGCGCTTTCGGTTTCAGGGTTCAGGGTTTCCGGTTTACGGCTGAGGCAGCTGCTTCGGATTCGGTTATGCAAGCAGCGGTCGAGCATCGCTGCCACACGCGCGCAGGGGCGATCTTTGCATTGAACATGGACGTCTCCGGTGGCAACGTCACCATCACGGAGTCTGGGGCTACGCGTGGGTATGGAGGCAGCGTGGGAGTGGGTCGCTTTCTTGGTCCTGGAACAGGGGACGAGGGATCCCCCGCAAGAAGTGGCACGCAGAGCGTCGTGGGCTCTGCATTTTTGGGGCGGAGGGTTCTTCGGGTGCAATGCTTGAGAGGTTTGCAGGCAGCTGCTGCCCCTGCAGTCACGCAGCAAGTCATATTTTGTAAAACCAATGCTTGCCTGGTCTTCCCGCTAGTGCATCTTTCTGCCCGAGCCGACTTAGCTACAGCATTGTAATTGATAAAGCGTAAAATGGCAGAAAGCAGGCCTTGGCAGAAGTGTTGGTGTCGAGGGCTGATTCTGAGCTGAGTGCAAAGTACGCTCTGAGGTTCAAGGAATAAGGCCAGCTTGCATAACAAGGTCGTCAGCTTGCGTATCTTCACCGTCCGTCTCGCCTGCAGAGCCGACAGTATGAGATCATGCCGGTAGCATGAGAAATCCGGTCGATGTGTCAAGCCTGGACCGATTCCAACTACCTCGGCTAAGCATACATACATACATACATACATACATACATCTACACATGTGGGTATATATATATGTACATATAACGGCCCGATGTGTAGTTCCAGCAAACCTGCGGTGCCGCCGAGTGGGCGGGCGTTGATCTCCACAGAGCTTTAAACATGATTTCTCGTATTGCATGTCTGCAACATTTACTCAGTTGCTCATATATCGCATACATTTGCGCCCTCGCCAATCGCACAGGAATCGCCTTAGAGTTGGCGGTGGGGTTTGCCCACATAACTCGCAAGTTTGTTCGGTCTCACACTCGTGCGTAGCGGGAGGAGTATAGAGGGGACCAGGCCCAGGCCCGGCCCCGGAAGTTCTGCTTTCGGTTTCAGGGCTTGGGGTTTCCGGTTTAGGGCTTAGGCAGCTGCTTCGGATTCGGGGCATAGGCCTATAGGCATATGCAGCGGTTGAGCGACGCTGCCACACGCGCGCAGGCGCCGTCCATGCAGCGAACGTGGACGTTTCTGGTGGCAATGTCACCATCAAGCAGTCTGAGGCTGCGGAGAGTGGAGGCACCGGGGAGTGGGTCGTTTTCTTGGTCCTATACTCCTATGGGACAGGAGGACGAGGGATCCCCCCCAAGAAGTGGTACGCAGCACGTCATGGGCTCTGCAGTTTTGGGGCGGAGGGTTCTTCGGGTGCAATGCTTGAGAGGTTTGCAGGCAGCTGCTGCCCCTGCAGTAACGAAGCGAGTCATATTTTTAAAGCCAATGTTTGACTTGTCTTCCCGCTAGTGCATCTTTCTGCCCGAGCCGACTTAGCTACAGCATTGTAATTGATAAAGCGTAAAATGGCAGAAAGCAGGCCTTGGCAGAAGTGTTGGTGTCGAGGGCTGATTCTGGGCTGAGTGCAAAGGACAAAAGCAGTGAGTCCTTGCTGGCCGGGTCCGATTCTGAGTTCAAGGAATAAGGCCAGCTTGCATAACAAGGTCGTCAGCTTGCGTATCTTCACCGTCCGTCTCGCCTGCAGAGCCGACAGTATGAGATCATGCCGGTAGCATGAGAAATCCGGTCGATGTGTCAAGCCTGGACCGATTCCAACTACCTCGGCTAAGTGTGGAATGCTGCTGCGGGTTTAAAAGTGTCAACCAGTACGCACACAAAGTCTGGTGGTGAAAGCTTTTGTAGAAGCTCCCAGCTGCTGGTGCTTCTTCAGTCTGACATTTGTATTTGCGAATGCTGCTCTGAAAGAACTCATCCGATGTGTAGTTCCAGCAAACCTGCGGTGCCGCCGAGTGGGCGGGCGTTGATCTCCACAGAGCATTGAAAGTGATTTCTCGTATTGCATGTCTGCAACATTTACCCAGTTACTCACACCTTATATGCTTGTGAGATCTCCATTCGCACAAGAGTCACGTTGAATTGGCGGTGGGGTTTCGTTTTCGGTTTCAGGGTTTACGGTTTCCGGTATAGGGCTTAGGCAGCTGCTTCGGATTCGGGCATATCAGCAGCGGTTGAGCGACGCTGCCACACGTGCGCAGGCGCCATCAGTGCCGGGAACATGATGATCGTCTCCGGTGGCAGCGTGAGCATCACGGAGTCTACAGCGTTTGATGGGGACGGAGGCATGGGGGAAGTGGCTCGCTTTCTTGGTTTTGGAACAGGGGCCGAGGGATACCCCCGACCCCAACAAGTGGCACGCAGAGCGTCATGGGCCCTGCAGTTTTGGGGCGGAGGGTTGCTCGGGTGCAAAGCTTGAGAGGTTCGCAGGCATATGCAACCCCTGCTGTAATAATAATGTTTGCCTGGTCTTCCCGCTAGTGCATCTTTTTGCCCGAGCCGACTCAGCTCCTTGATACAAAAAATGGCAGAAAGCAGGCCTTGGCAGAAATGTTGGTGTCGAGGGCTGATTCTGAGCTGAGTGCAAAGTACGCTCTGAGGTTCAAGGAATAAGGCCAGCTTGCATATCAAGGTCGTCAGCTTGCGTACCTTTCCCAGCCTTCTCTCCTGCAGAGCCGACAGTATGAGATCATGCCGATAGCATGAGAAATCCGGTCGATGCTTCAAGCCTGGACCCGATTCCCTCGTAACTACCTTGGCTAAGTTTGGAATGCCCGTGCGGGTTTAAAGGTGTCAACCAGTACGCGCACAAATTCTGGGGTGAAAGCTTTGGTAGAAGCTCCCAGCTGCTGGTGCTTCTGTCTGACATTTGTGTTCGCTACTGCTGCTCTGAAAGAATGCATCGGATGTGTACTTCCAGGAAACCTGTGGTTCCGCGTTGATCTCCACAGAGCTTTAAAAGTGATTTCTCATATTGTATGGCTGGAGCCTTAACATTCTGTTGCTCATACCTCATGTGCTTGTGAGATCTCCATCCGCACAAGAATCGCCTTAGAGTTGGCGGTGGGGTTTCTCCACTTAACTCGCAAGTTTGTTCGGTCTCACACTCGTGCGTAGCGGGAGGAGTATAGAGTCCAGGCGCAGGCCCGGCCCCGGAAGTCCGCTTTCGGCTTCAGGGTTTAGGATTTCCGGTTTAGGGCTGAGGCAGCTGCTTCGGATTCGGGCATAGGTATAAGCAGCGGTTGAGCGACGCCGCCACACGCGCGCAGGTGCCATCGATGCAGTGAACGACATGAACGTCTCCGGTGGCAACGTCACCATCACGAAGTCTCAGGCTACGCGTGGAGGCAGCAGCGGGGAAGTGGGTCGCGTTCTTGGTCCTGGAACCAAGGGATGCGGGATTCCCCCCAAGAAGTGGCACGCAGAGCGTCATGGGCTCTGCATTTTTTGGGCGGAGGGTCGGGTGCAATGCTTGAGAGGTTTGCAGGCAGCTGCTGCCACTGCAGCAACGCAGCAAATCATAAGCAAGGTTTAGGTGTTCAGCCTTCAAGGCGGAAACAGTGCGTCGCTCCGCTGCTGATGGGCAGTCTTTCCCAGCCACAGGAAACGAGAATGCTCTCGCTGACCGAGTGTTGATGTTGGCATCTTGAACAGAGCTTTCGTATGCTTTCATGCACCAGCAGCTCATGGCAAATGCTTGTCCGTTGACAATGCCTGAGAGCTCTCTTGCACGGTTTCAAGCATGAAATTCCTCAATCAGATTCGTAGCCAGCGGCCGGCAGCCACGTCGACAGGTTGACTGTTGGCTCTGGAAGCCTGAAGTCTGAAGAAACTTTACGGCGGAGCGCTCTTCTAATTAAACTTGATACAAGCTGAGAGTTTTCGGGGCAACACGTAGCCCAGTAGTCGGAGCAACTTCTGCCATTTGCAAGCACTTGCTGTAAAGAGCCCTGTCGGGAGCTCCGGAGAAACGACCCGCGCAGAAGTTAGGGAGACTGGCAGGATTGCCTCTACAAGCACCACCCGCAGACCTGCAACAGTTCGACCCCCCCACTCGAGAAAACTTTGAACGAGGCTTCTTGTCTGTTGGGTACTGCGGCTGCTTGTTGCAAGAGCTCTGTCGCAGCCTGATCCTGCCGCCGCTTGTTGTTTCGTGAGCCGATTGAAGTTCATCCTTTGGATTTTGTAGACTCGTGGCTAGCGGTTGTATCCCAGGCTGAACCCGCCACCGTGCTGCATTCCCTGGAAATTCTCGGCTGTGGTGTTGTGAAACGAAGACAAAGTGGTCAAGCTGCTACTGCAAACGTGTCGAGCTTTCGGTGAATGACTGTCGGGAAGGTGCTGCTTCCTCGGCCCAATCGGCAAATCCACACCTGCCCTGCCCTGAAGGCTGCATTTACATTGAGGACGATTTCATGCAGTCCGGCGGCGCGGTGAGCCTTGAGGGCTGCAGAGCCATTCGCGAAGGAGGCACCGGGCCCGGGTTTCTACAGGTAAGCGTCCTGCGGCTTTGCGGATGCTTTGAGCCGCTGGCATGCTGCTGATTCGTTTAGCACAAGCGTTTCCACGGCAAGGTGGCATTTTCTCGAGTCGCAACATTACCATGGGTGAGATGGCCACGCTGACCATCCGCGACACCCTGGCAGATAGAGGCGGAGGCATCATGACGACGTGGATGCACAACAAGGCAGGGGTTTAAAACCTTTGATGCTGGAAGCTTCCCTCTGCCGTGTTTCTCTCCGCCTCCTAACCCTTACCCCGGGTGGAAGACTAGCCTATAGGATGTTGATCGAACCTACCTTTTCTGCGCATGACACGGTGCGGAGAGGCAAGGCGGCTGCATGTGTCGAACTGCTCTGCCACGAGCCATGGCGGCTGCGTCTACGTGAGAGCCAGGGCCGAGCTCGCTGCGCCGCTGTCTTTGAGCGGTTGTATAGCCAAAGGTACGGGTGGCGGCATCTACGCCCAAGGAAAGCTCGTGTCGCCGCAGATCAGCTGCACCGATTGCCACGCGCCGACTTCAGCGTGCTTTCACCTCGAGTCTGGCGAGGCAAGCATCGAAAGCCTGATTCTTCGCAGCAGATCATTGCTCGGCCCAGCGTCTCCAAGCATTATTGTTGCCACTGGACATGATGCGGTCGTGACGCTTGGAACAGCGGACTGCCGCGAAGTGCCAGGCTGCGCTCTGCCTGTCGCGCAGATGCAGCTGGCACGGCTCCTGTGCCAGCGAGGAGAGAGCCGCCAATCCCTGGCCGACGGCACCGCGTGCCGAGAATGCCCAGCGGGACAGATCCGCCTCGTTGCGGTCGACAAGGCTCGCTTGTGTTTGGGGAGCCAGTCGGGTACCGTTAATTATAATTACAGAGTACTGTCGTGAGCGGCTCTTGCGCTTTGTGCGGTTTGTCCCGGCAGCACGGCGAAGCAGCACGACTTGGAACTCTGAAACATATGAGAAATGAGAATCAAGCGTCTCCGAGTTCATCTACTGTGAGATCACTGCCAACCCGGAGCTCGAAGTCGGAAACCCATCAACTCACATGGGTAGTACCTTACCCTATCAGAACCTACTTACTTCATTTTGTAGATGTCCCTATCAACCCAATATTGGGCTGGATGATAAGAATCTACCCACCTACAAGAAGTATACACAGAATAATAGTATTAGAAATAGGAATAGTAAGCATAATAATAATAATAATTCTAATATATACATATGTATATATATATATGTATATATATACCTGTGTCTTCGGTTTGTTGTTCTTTTTGTGCCCGCTTGCTCGAAAAGCTTTTCGGGAGTTTCTGGGCGCATGTTACATTCAGTACTTACTAAGAACTAACTTTGGGCGATATTGTTTCTGATTGGGTGTTTTCGGGTTGGATTGGGCGAAACCGTACTTTCGCTGGTCCGTGTTCCTGTTTGCTCAAGCTTTTGTATGCAGCACCTGCAGCATCCTACAACAATCCTTGCAGCCCGAAATCGGTCGGCTTACACCATAATTTAATTCTTTCGGTTGCCTCTATAGGTTCTATCCCAAAGATTTCTCAATCTAGTCAGATGCATGCAGCCCTATGAGAAGGTTTGCAAACCTATCAGGTTATACGTAGGCAGGCTAGGCCTCTCGCTGCTGACGGGCAGACCACGGGCAGAACGGTGCGCCCTCTAACACTTACGCGATTCTAGTGACTGGGTGGTCCATGTTATAAGAAAACAAAACGGCCGACCGCAGGTACTCGTGCGCTTCTCTTCGCCAGGGCTCAGTACGACTCCGCTGTGCAGGTGGGCAGACTTCGGTTGTCACTGTGTTTGCAATGTACTGGTGTTTACAAATATCTTTCGTGGAGGTTCGGTACAGACTTTGACAAGAAAGGCGGGCCCCGGCCAACTGTCGGACCCGAACTGCTTTCAGCTAGTTCTGAATCTTTGGCAGGGGCCGTTCTGCTGCTCCACATCACATGGGTCGCCAGTCACAGTGCGCCCCCCTCCCCACCGCATCTGCTTCCGACTAAGCTGATTTTGGGATCAGAACCGGCAGGTACTTAAACGATTCCCTTCGACCAGGCCGGTTTCGGTCCGAGGTGATCTTGCATCTGTGTTTGCATTACCACGTGCGACATGCAGCCAATGCTTGCTCGGCATTGCTTGGCGGGCTCAGTGTGTCAGTGCAGCATATCAGTTTGTGTCCCCCGCTTCTGAATAGCTCATGGCGCGTACAGCGAGTGCTACGGTGCTGGTTCAAGAGGCTTACGAATCAGGCCAGGTTCCTCAAAGGAAGAATAAAGCACAGAAGGACATAGATTTCCGTTGCCGACCCATCAGGACTGATGAGCATGCCTGGTGCTTTCTGGAAGCAAAATTACCATGGGAACTTTAGTTGGCATCCGTGCTTTTCCCGAGGCACAAATCAACGAGGCCCAGTTCCGCAACCTCTTGGAGAACTTTCACAACAAGGGGTCGACGTGGTTGCTCTTTCATGTTTTCGCAAGCTGAGCTTTTCGGCTGCAGGGATGCATGTGCTCTGAAATTGGTACATGTTTGACTTTATCCTTGATCGATGTCGTAGCTGAGGCACTGATATGCAGGATTGATGACATCAAGCAAGAAGTCTTGCTGCGAGGGGAGCCGGAGCTAGGCGACATTCGTGTGCGCCTACTACGTAGGGTGGCGTGCCGAAGCAAGGCTTTATCACCTTCGACGCCTTGGCATGGTACGATTCGGGGAAATGATATGTGCTTACGGGCAGTGGTAGGTCAACCTTTGATGTCCATGAAATGAACACATAACCTGGCTTTGGGCAGGTCTCTGGATGTGCGTCGTTGGCTTCGTGTGCCCCTCGCACCCTCGCTCTATGTTTCTCTGAGATTAAAAGGCTTTGTGCGATTATGTCACATGGAGATACACGTGTCTGTGTCGCATACAGCTGATCAAGCTTGATCGGATCCATTTTGGATCTGTGTTTTGTCTTTAGCTTAGAAGCTTGGAGCTGGTTCCATGCCACAGAAGAGATACTCTTTGCCAAAAGGCCATTTAGATGGCCTTGCTGATGCTTTGGCCAACAACAAGGAATGCCGTGAGCGCATGCTTCAGGGCCACACCCTCTTGCGTTGGCCGAGCCCGAAGCAGACGGGCAAAGTGACACAGAAGGCTTTGAAGATGAATGTGGACGTCCTGTTGGTTGTGGGTTCCATCCTATGCCCACAATCCCCAACCCAGATTGCGGTCAATGTTGGCCCACCCAAGAAGGAGGCTGGGTGGGTGCTGGTAGTCAGAACTGAAATTATACTTTAGGTCCCGTTCTGTGTAAATCGTCACATCGACTGTTGGGCAGGTGAGAAAACTTCGACAGGACTTGAAGATGGAGCCGGATCCGGCCAATGTCGTCTGTGAAGGCCATGCCATCAAGGGGTTTGTGACCCTCACCAACCGACGGCTGTATGCTTCAAGCAAGCGACGTGATTCGTGCCAGAAATTCTGCAGTTGCGTTTTTTGTGTGATTCGTGCCGATTTCCTTGATAGTAGCTTGTTTGCATTTTAGCAAAGGACCCAGAGTTGCAGCGGGTCTATGCGTTCTTCCGGAGTCATTGGCCTGGCCCCGACATCCTAGATGAAGGAGAGCTGGAGGATGAGCCGGGTGACGATGCATTGGTGGAATATGAGGGGGATGATATAGGAGATGATGGCTATGAGGAGCTTGATGATGATTTCCAGGACGCCTTGAGTAACATGGAGTTGCGTCAATCTTTTTGGCTTAGCAGTGCTTCCTCGCAGCATCCAGCAGAGCTGATGAGTAGTGCTGACAACCCGACACCCGAGCACAAGGTCCCAGTGCCACCGTTGCAAACACCGACCGACCCGTCTCCCCCGTCGGCCCCAGCATTGAAGAGAAAGGCCGCCTTTGTGCACAGCAGTAACAGGGATGTGCGCCAGAAGCGCATCGAGTATCTAAAGTTACTTGAATGAAAATAAAGTTTGGTTTGGACGTTTCCTGATGCACTTTGGTGACTTTGGTATTTGTGGGACATAGTGTCGCTCCTAAGGTTGAAGATCAAGGAGATGCGGGCTGCCCGACTACGAAGGGAAGCTGAAGGTGAGTTGCCTGCTCAAGGTCTGGCTTGTGTTGGTGAAGCATTCCGATTCTAAAGTAGTTCAGTGCATAGATAGAGTTTGTTGCCCCATGAACCGCAGCAGGAGTGCATCCTTACCCGACCGACATTGACAATTTGGAGACACAGCCCTACGAGTGCACCCTTGAGAAGCAGGCGCGGTAAAGCGCGAGTTTCAGGACAATGTTGTTGCTAGACCGTTTTGCCGTTGGTTGGATTGAAGCAGGATCCGACCCTTGAGATGCCAGCAGCTGGCCCGGACACGGGGCCCGCGGCTTCTGTTGAAGTTCAAGACGAGGCCCCCGAATTCCAGGGCGAGCCGCCGGCTTCTCCCGGAGTTCAAGACAAGGCCCCCGAATCCCATGATGAGCCACCGGCTTCTCCCGGAGTTCAAGACAAGGCCCCCGAATCCCAAGTTGAGCCACCGGCTTCTCCAGGAGTTCGAGACGAGGCCCCCGAATCCCAAGCCAAGCCGCCGGCTTCTCCCGGAGTTCAAGACGAGGCGCCCGAATCCCAAGACGAGCCACCGGCTTCCGAAGTTCCAGTCCAGGACTCGCTAGAAACAATATAGAACAGAAAATAGGAGCCCGTAAAGCCCGTTTAAGAGTTCCTGCAGTGGTGACGGCAAGGACGAACCGGTGGAGCCTGAGTCGTTCGATGTTTTCGATGCTAACGTCTGCTGGCTTTGTTAATTCTGTTGCGGTATGCAGTGTATCGTGTTCCTTAGGGCAGGGAATGCCTCTGTCGAGAAGTTGCTACCTGATAGATCCGAGGATTCCTTGACACGATTGGACCAGCAACAGCAGAAGGCTGACCAGAAGTCGGGTCGTGGGCGTGGCGGGCGTGGGCGGGGAGGACGTGGCCGTGGTGGGTCGATGAAGCGACCAGCTGCGGCTGTGAAGCCGGCTGCCAAGCAGAAGACCGAGGGCCACAGTGACGACAAAGACGAGCAGGAGTCCGAGAATGAGTCCAATGCCGGAACAGTCCGTTATGCTGAGCAGCTGGAGGGTGCTGCTGAGGGGAAGGATACAAAGCCGAAGGAAGCCAAGGGCAAGTCTAAGCGAAAGAACGTTGCTTCGGAGCCAGCAGCCGGTGACAAGCGCACCGCTGAGCCCGCAGACGAGAATCCTCAGATGAGCAAAACCTTTGCTCGCAGGTATTGCCCGAAGGGTGGCCCGAACAAAGAGAAGTGGACTGGATTGCGTGCTGCATACTATGCAGCAGTTAGCAGTTGCATTGTGTCCCCATCGAAGATGGAGGACTTCGGGTTGGGATATTGACTCGTGATGATCAACCCTTAAACCCCAAACCAATTCCTCTTTTGGCCAGGACCACTTCTTCAAGTTCTTCACGGCCTGGTACCCCAAGGAAACCTTGACGGGTGCGACAGCAGACAGGTACAAGTGCCTGGCTCTGCAGATCGTGCCTGAGTATTTGCAGCAGGAGGCTTTGAAGGATCTTGTCAAAGAGGACGACTGTGATGAGTGATTGATTTTAATCTCGGGATTCAAGAAGTGTGGGACAGACTTCCTGAAAGGAGTTGTTGAATAGCAGAAGTTCAGTAGAAGGCAGCTGTGCGTATTCATGCAGTGGGCTTCATAGGCAAATCAGAAGGCTGTTCCCTCGGCTTGTGGGGGATCCTAGCAGACGTGGGGATAGTCAGAACCTCCTTTCTGCTGGGCATCAGCTGAATTTCAGCAATGTTCCGCTTGCATCGAAAAGCATAGTTCGTTCGGGAGATCCGCGGAAAATAAACCATCGACAGCTTTTGCTTTTGCGTGCAAGGACAGTCCGGAATCAAGGTTCCACGATCAGCTTTGAAAAGTGCCATTTCGAAGGTACTACTTCGCTATCTTCGCGATGCCGAGCATGCGCGGGCTGGCCGTGTACGCCCGAGCTGGACAGCTACAACAGTCCCGTGCAGACAGTCTGTGCCGACCTGTTTGCTCAGGGTTTTCGTTTTGCTTCAGATTCCCGTTTCTTGCATGGAAGCAGGATTACACGACCAATCGTCATTTGAGTTCTGTGCGATATATCGGCTCAGGTTTTTTTGCTGTGTTGGAGTCCGATTCGTTCTCATGGAGCGAAAGGAGGTGGAAGCCGTTCTTCGAATCATGATTCATATGGGGCTTCCGAAGGACCCTTGCGGAATTATTCGTTCGTGCACTTTACTGCAATATCAGGGCTATGCCGGCTGCCATATCCAAGGTCTATGTGCTCCTTGTTCTGATGACGAGCTGGTTGGATGGAGTGAAACTATCTGGCAAGTTTGACGTGATCGAATACTTTGCCGGTGTTGGTAGAATCACACGCCTGGCATCTGCCAGGAAATACCAAACTGCTGCTTTCGATCTAGGCTATGGTGCCCCGAAGTCTTCAGGACATCGACGGAAACGAAACTTTAAGAAGAAGCCATGTATGGACATCAACGGGTCTGCTGGCTTCGTGTGCCTTTTTCTGCAGCCAAGCTAGGTCGCCAGCATAATCATGCATCGGCCGAATCAAGCTTGTTGGCTGCTCTTGCCACTCAGGCTGTGCATCATCCTTCTGCTACAAGCCAAGTATCGTTCTTTTCTGAGCATCTGGGCTATTTGTTGTTCGTCATGGGTGTCAATTAGCCGGGGGAGTTCGTGCCGATGCTCTTTCAATCCTATGGGGCATCCTGGCAGCTCTTCCGTGCAACAAGCCAACAAGATGGTTTCAAGGCCATCTGAGCTTCTACCAGAAATACTGTGAAGCACTAGCCACAGCGGCAATCGCATCGCCAAGAGAAGCAGTGGCAGTAGCATGTAGCAGTACCACTAAACCCTAAACCCTAAACCCGGTGTCGGTCGTGGTAGTGGTAGCAGCAGCAGCAGCAAGAGCAGCGTTGGGGCTCGTGCTTTGTTTTTTCAACGGAGGATTTGGGGTTCAAAGGACTCGGGCCCAGGGCTTCTAGGTTTGAGGTTTTGGGCCGTTTAAGGATTTTCCTGGGTTAGTGCGACCAAGAGATTCAGAGGCCTGGTTGGTGTTTTCTAGGATCACGTTTCTCAAGAGGAATCGAGTTCAGGGTGCCCCACACACAAGATTTAGGCCTTGTTGTTAAATGATTATTGAAAGGTTTAGGGACTAGGGGTAGGGCGGTGGATGGGCTTAGGGTTTAAGGGTACGTGGGTTTCATAATTTAGAAGTGTCTGGGTTTCAAGCTTTCGGCGTCTGAGAAAGTTTGGGGGTGTAGGGATTTAGGAGCTTCGGTGTTCAGGCCTTGTGACCTCGAGGACTTAAGGGAAGGGCCCGAAAATCCGAAGCAATCTTCAAAGACCAAAAGAAGCCCTGCCACTCGAAATTTAAACCATGTAAGCTGAGCCCAATAATCCTGAAACCCACAGAAGCCAAAACCTTCTAAACACCAAGACCTGGAACCCTCAATCCATGGAAGCCGAGCCCAAAGAACACCGAAACTCCCAGAAACTCAAACCTTGAAAACACGAAAAACTTGAACCCTCACTCTCCGCAGCACTTGCCCGGGCCTTTCTTAGAGGGTTCGACCCCACACCTTTAGCCCAGCTACACTTTTGGGATCTAGGGTGTGGTCACCTAAATTTTAAGTGACCGAGGCACACTCATCCTCGGGTTATGGCTGCAGCTGACAATTCCCGCACACCGATCCTAATTATACACGGGATTGTAGGGTTTGCTCACCTAAAATTTAGCATACACTTCCTCGGGAAAAAGTTATGAAGAGTTCTCGAATCGGTGTTGTTTTGAGAGTAGGAGCCTACAGTAGGGATCAGCGCCAGGACCCTTCAGGAAACCTAGACCTAAACCCGATTGGAAAGGCCCGCAGCTACTCTGCCGCTCATCCGCAGCACCTGTGCGGCAGGTGCATTCTGCTCTTGATGACGGCAATTGCAGCAGGAGGTTGTCCCGTGGTCGAGAATCCGGGCAGTTCCCTCATATACTTACATGATCGGTTTCAGTGGATGATTGATCGACTCCGCGCAATTGGTATTTCTGTATCTTCAGCTGCAGCAGGGGCGGGGTGTGTCCTCGAAGCTGGGGTCCCTAATTTGATCAGTTCGAGGTAGACTTTCGGACATGATCCTCGGGCTGGGAGCTTACACGTGTCTACAGTAGGGAACCTAACTGTCTCAGAGAGTGCATCATGGTGCAGCAGAACAGGATAGCTAACGCCCAAATCGCAATCCTAAAGTCCGTGAACCCTCAGCCACAACACCCTATCCCTTATAATATAAGACCCGAAACTCCAAACCCAAAACCCCTAAACCCGAAATTATAAGCCATAAAACTCCCCTGGCCAATTCGGTTTGCGAGATTGTACGACTAGCAACGCACATGATTCTCAGGATTCCAACAAACCTTTCAGTACCAATGCCTTAAACGCTTATAATCCTTAAAACCTTAACACCAAAAGCCCTGTGCCCGCAAACGCACAATGCACCTGCTTCTAGGGAGTCGAGTAACCGGAAATCCTGAAGACCTTAAAGCCCCAAAGCCTAGTATTCCCCAAACCAGCGATGCACCTTCAGTTCCGTGGAGCTCGAGAGTCGCTTTGCAAAGCCTCGCCCAGGGTTTAGGGTGAGTGTTTGTGCCGTTTGCACTAAAGTAGTAATTTAGTCATCTAGTAATAATTTTAAATACAATGTAAGGTTTAGGGTTTGGGGGGTCTAGGTAGAGTTCCACACACCTCCCAAAAGGGGGTATCCCAAAACGGAGCCCCAATCCTACTTGCCCAAACTAACTCTCCAACCCGAAAAAAAAGAAAGCCCTGGGCCCGCAACTATATAAGAACCGAGGCCTACAGGCAAAGCTTTTGGATGTACCACTTCGGGCATGCCAGCTGGAAGAGAACAATTCTTTGGAGCACAAGGTCTTGGATTTCCGTATTCGATAAAGGTCCGATCCAGAAGGGCAAGCATATTGCTCGAGTCGCAACGAGCACCCGTTATGTTGACAAACGTGGACGGAAACGGTTTCATGGTTCTGCTAGCTTACGAAGCACGCAGCCACGTGGCCGTAATATGTCATTGCAGACACTTCCAAAACCCTAAACCCGAAACCCTAAACCCCACACCCCAAACCCTAACCACTAAACTTCCGAAACATTAAGCAGCCAAGGGCAGACAC